GTTGGTTCCATAAGGAAACCAACCATCTGGTTTTATAGAAAAATTGGCATCCTATATATCTTTTCCTTGAAATTCGTATTTTGATATGGTATGGGTGGTGTTATTTTATCAAACCTGTTCATATTTTTGTTTTGTTTCAAAATGAAAATCAATTTTTTTTTTTTTGGTTTTGATTATGGAGAAATTCTGATACATAATTCCTTTGTGACGTTTTCGCTATTTATTTTGGTAAATATTTGATTGACACAGTTTGTTTAAAAATCTTAATTTAATACTCAGTTCGTATTTTTGGTTTTGCTTTCGGATAAATTCTGATATACGATCCATTTTTTATGTTATCGTTGTTTTTATGGTAAAGATCTTATTCATACGGTTTGTTTAAAAATCTTAATTTCATATATTCTCTTTGTACCAATCAACACAATATTTTATCATGTCATTAAAAACTATCACATTAACTACATATTATACAAAATGATTTAAAAAATTACATTTCCATTCTATGTATAAAATTACAATGATATAAATCACTCACGAAATATTAAAATAAATAGATAATCACAAATCCATTATTTACAATATCAATTTTATAAATCTTAATTTAATATCTGATAAACATAATAATTTATCACGTCAATACTAGAGATGTTAAACGGTTCTTGGCCCGACGGGCCGGCCCGTTTAGCCCGAATAAAAACAGGGTTAGGGCCTTTTTAAGTAGCCCATTTAAATCAGGGCTTTTTAGGCCCAGACCGTTTAGACCGAAGCCTGATAGGGCTAGCCCGAAGCCCGCTAGGGCTAGTCCGTTTAACTTGTATATTACAACTTTACTATTCTACTTAATATGTAACTATGAGTTGTAGCCAGTTATTATGATTTTGAAAGATAATTATTAATAATTCGTTATTCTACTTCACACCAAACTATTTAAACCAATTAGAACGGCTAATAGAAAACACATGAGACAAAGACCTAACACATAGAACATAGTGATAAAATATAAATTCAATAGTAAGATACAATATCGTGAAAATTTCCAAAGCGTACAAAAATAAGTAGTAAAATGGTAATTATAAATAATAGTTCGAACATTTTTTTCTTTTGAGAAAAACATGTCACTTAAGAGTTTGTAACTAGTGTTCATACATGAAGCCCGCTTGTAATTTTTATTTATATGTTTTTTTATATATTATTATTATAATTATAGCTCGTTTAGCCCGAAGCCCACTAGGGTTAGGGTTAGGTCCTTTAATTGGTAGTCCGTTAAAATCTAAACTTTTTAAGCCCTGACAGTTTAGCCTGAAGTCCGTTAGGGGCAACCCGAAACCGCAAGGGCTAGCCCGTTTAACATCTCTAGTCAATACATATTATTGCAATAACTACCAATTGGGCAAACTAAATAAATTATGGAACTTAACAAATGAATTTAATACGTTCTCCATTCGATGTATAAAATGACTGATATAGCAAACAAGATAATCACAAAATCCACATTATATGGTAACTATATTTTGACATTGCCACAAAACTAGCATTTTCACGAGATAAACATAGTGTTTGGTAACTAGCACATCAATTTATAATATCTAAATTAATTTTTTTCATATTTCTTAACGTTACAATATATGTGTTGCTCTTACAAACGAGTGTGGGGATTATAAATATCCTATCACAACCATATGAAAAAACTCTTATACAACATAAAAAAATAGGATCATGCTACATGTACCTCTTGGTGTACCACTTGGTTTACATCCAAGGGGTACATGTACCCATTTACCCTTAATGAATAATTTAGTAAATTATTCATTAAGGGTATGTACCATTTGGATGTAAACCAAGTGGTATACCAAGAGGTACAAGTAGCATTATTCAAAAAAATATATACATTTCATGACTAAAAATTTATAATGTTTATTACTTATTGATTTAAATCATTCCATTTATAATATTTTACAAAATAATTACAACTCGTACATTGCATGGAGTACACACTGGTTTGATTATTGATTCAATATATCAATTACACATTTCTAATTCCAAAGTAGATCTAATGGATAAATGGTGATTTAGTTAAAGGTTTACGTGGGATTCTCTTGATCCGTGATTTGCTCCTATAAAAGAAAGAAAAATAAGCCATCATCACCTCACGTAAAACAAGAAGAAAATACTAATAATTGAAAAAAAAAAAAAGTAAAAATAAAAGCAGATTAGGAATGATGATCATTGCATGTGAGCAGCACTCAACCCAGCCCAGCGGGGGCCGGTCTTCTGTCCTACTCCCATATTTTAGGCCCACATTGGGGGCCGAAAACGAGTCTTGCCGCTTCCTTAGACCTAATGTTTCATGGGTAATTAACGTCCGTCACCCGCCGTTTGAATATTTATTCGTGTCGGTCGACAGCCGTCCTAATGCGCAGTTACCGTCACCCACCGTTTCAACATTTATTGGTGTCCGCCGGCAACCGTTTGCTTTCACGTTGTTCTTGAGGTTGTGCCCCGCCCTTTGATTATTTGAGACTGGAGACACCCTTCATTGAATAGTACATTGGCCAAGGGTGTTGACCTTGCTAACTACCAATTTTTTATTTATTTTTTTTTCCAAAATGATATATTCCTTAACAAAAAACACATAATTATAACAGACTAAGAGCATCTCCAAGAATCTCTCTATTCATATTTCTTATCTCAAAAATAGGGATTTTTTCTCAAAAATTGTTTCCAACAGTTACCCAAACTTGGTCTTATTTTTAGGATACCCTCAAATAGAGGCTTCTCTTCCTCATTCCTGGGGAGAAAAAAACGACCCCCATTTCATATCTCCGTCATTATTTTCGATACGCGCTCTTTTCTTTCAACCTCTCGCAGTATTTTTCCTCTCTGATCCTTTCATCTCCCCCTCGTCGCCCTCCACCGCCGTCCGCTCGCAGCATCCACAGCCGCCCCCTCGTCGCCCTCCACCGCCGCCCCTGAACAGGTCGAATCCCCCGCCGCCGCCGCGGGAAAAGTGCCGCCACTACCGGATGGAAGGTGCCGGCGTCGTCCCAGGACGAAAAGGTGGCTCCGCCGCCGCAGCTGCCGCAAACAAGGTGTCGCCGCCGCTGCCCGATCAAGACTCCATCGCCGGCATCTCGAGAGGTCCACCCAGTCTGGGCTTCAAGTGGGCTTTTAGATAGATTTGTGGGCCTGGTTCAGATTCAAATTATAAAATAGGGAGACTCTTGGAGGACAACAGAAAATAGGAAGCAAATGGATATAAGATGACTCCTTATTTCTTCAAATAGGAGGTCTCTTAGAAATGCTCTAAGAAGCTGAAATTAGAGAACTACCAAAGGTAGTATAGAAGCCACGATACACACTACAACACTAAAAGAAAAATAAAATCCTCCCCACGGGAAAGTAAGACAAAATCCTAACAGAAGAATAACACGAAACTCCCCACAGGAAAATAACACGCTCCTCCAAAGAGGAGAAAACAAAACACTACTCAAAAAACAAAACACCAACAAACCACAAACTACACACAAACAGACTAATCAAAACAAACAAAAAAGCTGAACAAGTAGAAGCCCTCTACAACCGGAAAAGACAACCAAACCACGCGCATGATTGGACCTGATAGGAAAAAAGAAACCCGACTCAAACCAGATCTAGAAACTGCAATCTACGAACGAGGCCTAACTAAACCTCGGCGAGCCAAACCTCCGACTATCGAAACCACCACAACCTTCACCGTTATTCTCGCCAGAGAGAGCCGCCAACAACAAACCGCAAGGACACCAAGAGGCGGGATGGACCAGGGACAATACACCACCGTGAAAAATTGTTGTCGTCCGCTGAAGGACAGCTTAACGACGACGACAACCACGAGCCCACCAACCATGCTGGAGCCCACCAACCACGTCGGACTGGAGAAACACCGCTAATACCATCTAGACTGGAGAAACGCCTCGCCGAGTTGCTGAGTCGTCGGGGAAGGAGACAATTTGGTCCCCTAGTGAGGTCATCACCGCGGTAGGCCGGCGCCTGTGGAAGGGAGGCGGCTAACTGAACAGTGGCTAGGGTTTGTCTTCTGATTTGGGGATTTTCAATAAGGAGACCCCAGTGATTTACTCAAAATTTAGGAACCTTGTTTGGGAAATAATGCTAACTACCTATTCACTTTCATGAAGTGTATGGTTTTTGTTTTTTTTTTCGAAACAACAAATTTATTAACTGAAACACATAATTATAACCGGCTAACTAGCCAGAATAGGAGGACCACCGAAAGTAGCTTAGATATCACAACACACACTACAAAACAAAAGAGAAAATAAAAAGTTCCCACCAGGAGAATAACACACTGGCAAAAAAATAATAACACAATCCTCCAAAGGCAGAGAAAACAAAACACAACCACACAACAAGAAACCCACCTACTAAAACACACAAAGAATCCTAAACAAACCTAAACAAATTATTAAACTGAAGCCCTTCTCTACGGCTGACAAGCAACACCACAAACCAACCTGCCACCAACCACCCAGAGCCGTCACCCCCACAAACTGAGACCTAGTTCAAAACACCGAGCCTGAAACTGCAATAAAGGTCTGGCTCTCGAAGAGGAATGTTGTGTGTTTCCTCGGGGTGTTGCCTCTCTTTGTTTGTGTTAGAGCATGTTTCTTTGTGTTAAGTTGAACACCTCCTGTTGTGAGTTCTTATAAAAATTAATTCGTTTAAAAAAAAAAGATAGGGCGGTCAAAACCGCTTAAACAGCGATTAAGAAGAAACGCTGAAAAACAAACCGTGCGAAAAATACTACGCACATATGACCATATCCATATGAGCTACAACCAACAATCAATACCAGGAAAAACTACCTCAATACACCCTAACAGTGCCCAACGGGGAGACTTCCCTTTCTATATCTATATATCCTCCACGCTTTCCCACCTCCTTTCTAAGACAAAAATCACGACATAAGAATAAAACAGAATAAAATCCTTACCCCAAAAACATTATTATTGATACAACACATTCCCACAGCCATAAGCAGCTTCAGGATGGTAGTAAAGAATCTCCCTCAACACCATCTCCCTAATAACATGCTCCCCAACACCCTCCTCCACATCCACTTCCACACGCTGCTGGGCTGGTGGATCACGGCCCGGGTCGTAAAGGCCCGACAAGTACGGGTGGCACAGGGCCTCCTCCACCGTTATCCTCTTCGCCGGGTCAAACACAAGCATCCTCTCCAGCAGGTCCACTGCTAGAGGGTCTGCGTGCGGGTACAGGGACGCAAATCGGGTCCCACCCGAAAAATTGAGTGACCGCACAAACCTTTGGGCCCGGGCGTTGTCGATGAACTCGAGGTCTGACTCGGGCCGGGTTCCGAGGATGCCGATGATGAGCCTCAGCTGGGTTAGGCAGTCGTTCCCCGGGAAAATGGGCTCCCGGCCCATGATTTCAGCCAGGATGCAGCCCGCGGACCAGACGTCGATGGAGGTCCCATAATTGTCGCACGAGAGGAGAAGCTCAGGGGCCCGGTACCACCGAGTGACCACGTACTCGGTCATGAGGCGGCCATTGGCCCGGCTAGTGCGGGCCAGCCCGAAGTCACAGATCTTGAGCTGGCAGTTGGAGTTGATGAGGAGGTTCCCAGGCTTTAGGTCCCGGTGGAGAATGTTAGCTGAGTGTAGATATTTCAAGCCCCTGAGAAGCTGGAAATATAGTAAATACACAACCTGTTGAGTTAGATAGGCCTTTGATGGATCTTGAACACAACAGGTTCCACAAAATTCGAAACATTTGAAATTATTTCAACCATTCTCAAGCAAATGTACCTGAGATACAAGCATTTCAAAGCATACCACAGAGAACCACACAAAGGCAATCTAATAGTTTCAATCTACTAAAGAACTTTCAAGCATTATTACCTGAAAAACGAAGTACTTGCAGTGATCATTGGACAGAGGCTGGGAGGACTTAATAATCTGGTGCAAGTCAGTGTCCATCAACTCGTACACCATGTACAGGTCCTTAAAACCCCTCCAATCGGCCGGCACCATCACATCCTTGAGAACGATCACGTTCTCGTGCTTCACCCATCGCAACAACATCAGCTCCCTCAGAGTCCTGAGCGCGTCCACCCGATTCCCGAACACGTTGTTCACTTTCTTGATGGCCACACGCTCGTTCGTCACCCGATCC